ATACTTAACTTTATATCAAGTTCAAGGGGTTTAACTTTGAATTACATACATATTATTTTTCTTAATGATGATTACAAAAGTCACAGAACCACAGGAATTTTTACCCATAGATAGGGGACCCACTGAATACATTTTCAAGAGATATGAGTAGATAAAACAGTTACTAATTAAACTCAGGTGTTTGCTCAGCAGCGCATGACTTGGGATTTGGACCCAGATGTGTGAATGGGTGAACGAGGACACAATGGATGCTAACTGCGTCCCCTGTCCACACTCTGGACAGTATGTCCACCTGCTCTGTCATACTCACGCTACGCTTAACGAGCTCTGGCAGCTTTCCCCAGCTCTTTCTGCAGCTTCCATGGTGCTATTTCTTGTGATCTCCCAAAACTAGCCTGCTCACCTCCCAAAAATGGATGTGGCCCTGTCACCCACACTGGGGTGAGGTAGCGGGGTTGTGGGCCTCTCCTAACTTCTGTCCTGGTCTCCTTATCTGTTCTACACAAGGCTGCTCTGATCAATCAATGAGTCAACAGGGACAGAGCCCACAGCCTGCTGGGAGCCACACCCTGAACAAATGTTAGCCAGGGCAGGGCTGAATGCAATCAGCTAGCTGTACATTCAGGTCAGTAGTGACATATTTGGGCTTATCTTGTTCTGCGCCTTCTCTGCTTCTCTTTAGTTGATTTTCTAACCTCTTCTGCCTCACAGTGGCCTCATCAAGTTTTCTTCAATCCCATTTTCTGGCAAGGGGAACATCACATTGTGTCTCCTGGTTAGCAGGGACTCCCTGCTGCAGGGTGTGGGGAGGCCAGTGCCCCTAGAACAGCAGCAGGGCCTTCCTTTCCCACACCCCTCCCCCACAGCTCCATTCCCGTCTCCACTCCACCACCACGGTCTACGCAGATGTACAACCTGCCCACAATTAAGAGCTTAGAATCATTTCCTTGGCTCACAACCGCCTCTTGCGTCTCACTGCTCTCTCTTGGTGCTTCTGACAAGCACCCTAAAGGGAAGGTCTGGATTTCTCAGCCTATTCTCCCGACAAAAGGACCAGTTCCAACACACCCATTCCACAGTCCAGTACCACAAGATTCTTCTACTTTGCTAGAAAAGTAAAAACAGAAAAGCGCTTCCTTCTGGATGGAATTAACAACAGTTCCAACTGTGTAATCCTGAGACGCAGCTGGACACACGGTCAAATCTGCATTTTTATACCCTTTAGATGGGATGCCAGCCTTGGGTTACTCTACCAGAGGATCCAATCAGCCCAACTCCCTCTTCTTTAAGGTTTCAACCCGAGCAACTTAGTACCACATGCTAAAAATAAAATAAAATATGTGTCCTATGTAATTTACAGGCCATACTTTCAGAAACAACAACAAATGGTTTGGGCAGATGGTCTTTCGGATTCAAATGCCTCATATCTGTGGTTACCTTGGCAGATGAGGCCGCATCATGAGGCATGGAAGGTCATGGGAGGCAGAGGATTGAGAAAAAAAGAACGAACGTGCCAATCCTGCGGTTACACCCCCAACGCCTGTGACGGCACAGACGAAAGCACAATCTCCCGAGACGCCCCCCCCCCCGGTGGCACTGCATGTTGAACCCAAGCACATATGGGAGGTGGGCATCTTAACCACCAAGCCAAAGACTGACCCCTCAAGACTCACAGAACAAGATTCCCTCTAAAATTTAACACTTATATGTCTACTGTTTTTCAAATCTGACCATACGTTCTACTAAAAGTTGATATGTGCCAGTAATTTCATCTCTGGGAACCTAATCTAAGAATGCAGTCACATATTGGACCTGGTGCAATAGCAGTTAAAATCCTCACCTTGGACACGCTGGGATCTCATATGGCGCCGGTTCTAATCCTGGAGGCTCCACTTCCCATCCAGCTCCCTGCTTGTGGCCTGGGAAAGCAGTCGAGGACGGCCCAAAGCCTTGGGAACCTGCACCTGGGTGGGAGACCTGGAAGAGGCTCCTGGCTTCGGATCGGCTCAGTTCCAGCTGTTGCAGCCACTTGGGGAGTGAATCATCGGACGGAAGATCTTCCTCTGTCTCTCCTCCTCTCTGTATATCTTCCTTTCCAATAAAAATAAATAAATCTTAAAAAGTAGTCACAAATATGGGAAAACCTCTATGTACTACAATGCCGCTACTTCAAAATGACTTATATTAAAAAAAAAAAAAAACTGTCCAAGAGGAAAAAAACTGCACAGCATGGCAGGTAGTCACAGCCAGGACATAGGTTATGACACTATGGGCCCGGCTTCCACCTTCAGACCCGCTCAGTCCCGGGCAGGCCTCTGGGAAGTAACCCAGGAGCTGAGAGGCTTCTTCTCTCTGTCTCACGCACATAACATGTGCATCTCGGACAACAAAAGCGGACAGTCAGGAACAGACACTTCACTCCCAGCCCAGACACGGGCATGCCCAGGGTGGCTGCAGGCTGCTCTCAGCTCCCAGGCCGGCGCCTCACTGCTGAGGTCACCTGGTGGGAAGCAGCAAGGCAGGGCTCTGCTTCTCCCCCATGCCTTTGGGAAGGCCCTGATTGCAGCAGGGGGCCAGTCTGTGGGACTCTGTACTGCCCCAGTGGCCGGCAGGCACCAACACTTGAATAGCAATGTGAATTGTAGGGGAGGTCACTAGATCACACACCGAGATGGGGTTGCACTGGACTCGGAGACAGCATGGTAAGTGACATCTGATGCTGGCACTACCCCACACTTCCCCCAGCTACAGCCGATGGCAAAAGCCCAACCCTGCCGGCATGCACCTCTCCTTTGCCTGTCCCAGGAAGACTCCAGGGCATCTCTCATCACTGGCTGTCTCCCCTACAAGAGCCACCAGGGCAGGATCTCCGTGTTGATGGAGGGAGAGAGGAAGGAAGAGGCACAATGCTGAGGGAGGCCTGGGTCCAGGTGTCCAAACACTGCCAGGAGCCATCCCCAATCCCACCAGAACACACACGGGCACGAGACAGCACACAGGTCAGCAGGCCCCTGGAGCAGGGCCAACGTGGCCTGCCAGAGGCAGGGGAGGAGATGGCAGGCAGGAGGCTGTCGGGGGAGTAGCAAAGGTACAGATTTGTCTCTTTTGTGAATGGCCTGAGGGCCGACAACAGCTGGAAGCCCTGGGGAAGGAAGCGGAAACGGCCTATGACACACATGCTAGCACACATGGCCTCAGATGCTTGCATACAGACGTGAAACACGCCGAGACCAAAAGAGAGGGCTGACGGAAACGGCCGGCAACTTACTAGCTGTGCTTCCTCCTCCAGGGCACAGGACTGCTCTGTCTCTGTTGGAGGCTAATCGTGGGAAGAGCTAGCCATCTGCCTTCTGCCCAGTTCTGAGGGGTGTGAGGCCCAGCTCGGCTCTACCACAGGGACTGCGGGACTGCAGTGCTGACTCAAGCTGCCTGCTCATCCTGCAGGGCCGAGGGCCACATAAACAAGGGACCCTCCCCTAGCCTATCCGCTGCCTCTGACACGCGGGTTGATTCCACATGACGCTTCTGCACCCCCTCCTGCCACAGAGAGGCAGACTGTCTGGAGATGGGGGAGGGAAGAAGGGAGCAAATAGGCAGGAACAGTTGCAAGCTCGGTGAAGATTGCATGGTCACGGACAGCTGACTCAGACTTCAAAGCTTAGTGGTTTCAATTCAGTTCTGGATCAACACACCTTAAGTTCCTCTGACAGATATAAAAATACCCTTCCTCCAGCGTGAGCATTAGGGAAGGCTGAGGGCTAAGGCGGAGGGCTCAAGGTCGCAGATGCCGAATTGATCAGGTGGACGACCCTGGCACCGCAGACCAGATGATCTGTACGGGAGGGAGCGAACAGGTGCCTGTCAAGGTCTTGACGTCTCCGGCATCTCGGGATGTGGCTGTGTTTAGCAGCAGGGTTTTGAAGAGGTAATTGGGACGCAGTGAGGTCACATGGGCAGATCCTGATCCAACACGAGGCTAGGCCAGGGCCATGGCTGCACAATGGCAAGGCAGCGCCTGGAGTCCAGGGAGATACAGGCCTGCAGACCCGTGAGAGTGCACTTCCGCTGCAGTGGGGTCTGGGGACCGACCTGCTGACCTGTGGGGTCAGCAGCTCCCACTTTCTCCTGGTCCAGGTGGCACCGTCCACACTTCACCTCTGCTTAGGACGCAGCTGCCGCCTCACCCTGCCACATGGCCCTGAGACGATCAGCTTCCTTCCTGCTCTTAAGAGCCACTGTGGTTGCCGGTGTGCTCACAGGTGGCTAAGGAGATACCCGCAGAGGCCCGAGCTTAGTACCTCCCCAGGTCTCACTACCCCACAAACTCCCAGCCGGCACTTAAAGCACCCATGACTCCCCGTTTAACCTATGCCAGGCTGCACCGTGTGGATGGAACAAAGCCCCTTTCACTTTGACGTAACTTCCAGCAATGCAGGGACATTAACCTCTCTTGGTCTGACCTAGCTGGGGGCACCTCCTGGCAGATCCCTTGGCCCAGCTGCCTGAGAGCTTGCCTGGAGCTTCCGTAGCGCGCTGCTCATGACTTGAAGCCTGAGACATTGTGATGACAAACACTCACACAGCCCCTCAGCGGGGGACCCAGCCAGTGCACATCCACACATCCAAGCACTCTAGGAATGTGTGGGGTGTAGGACTCTCACTCCTAGCAAGGCCATGGACAAGCAGCTGCAGGATGCTCTTGTGGCAACCCCTCCCCTGCTGCCAAGTTTAAAATAGCATCCCTGAGTGAACAGAAGAGGGGCGGGGCGAACACACCTGCTGCTTCCACCAAAGTCGGCCTCCCACAGGCGAGAAAGGGAAAGGGCGGAACCTTCCATTTCAACCAACTCCTACCCTGCCCTGTTCTCAGTAACATGCAGACATCACCTTCTGCCCTGCCTGGGGCGCCACCCATGACACTGCAACCCCTGGCTACCCCGCCAACGGAGAAGGCAGGGACCTGCGCGCCTGAATGCGTGGCTGGCTACCCACCTGGCGGGGCTGTTAGCCTGGCTCTCGCTCACTTCTTGCCTCAGTCAGCCTCTCATGGACAGGTGGCTCTGGTGGGCTAATTTCTCACATCAGGAAACTGATGAAGAAAACAGAAGGCTGTGATTCAGAATCAAAGGGCCAAACTTGAGTCATAGTCAGACTCCACGCATTATCAGGTACCCCAAGCACACCAAGCAGCCAGCACCAAGGGAGACATCTAAAACGCTGGACCGGAACATCTGTGAGCCGGCTGTGCTAACACTGGTGCTTGGGCTGGGCGCCTGACCACCCATCCCAGCGATGTGCAGCCAGGACTCGACTCCCCGGACACTGGTTTCAGGATGTTATCTTGTTGCATGTCAGTACACTTGCATGCACAGAAGTGCACGGCATGAAGCACAGAAACAGCTCCTACCTGCTGGTCTGCGCCTCCAGCCTCCTGCTGCGGCCACAGCCAAGGCGGAAGCCAGAACGGGGAACGCAGTCCAGGACTCCCACACGGAACTCAGCCACTGTCTCCCGCTGGCCGGAGCCAGGACCTGAGTCCGGTGCTGCATTCAGGTCCCCTGACGTGGGCATCTCAACCACTGGCCTAAACTCCTGCCACAAGGAATTATTTTCGACTGGTAAAGAGACTGTTCATTTCTAAAATTCATTTATTGTATACTTTTTGTTTAGTAGCTGACATTCCACCCAAGTGAGAAAATACCACAGCAGTCTTCTTAAAGTGCCATTTCAGGACAGCCCCAATGTTTCGAAGTTTGACTTCGTGACTCTGACTTAAAACATTAATAGTAGTTTTACCAGCAACCACGTGGGCAGCCTTTTGTGCCAGCTGCACGGGCAGGCTGGTCACCAGCAATGCCCGCTGCACAGATGACCCCAGGTAACAGTGTCCTGTGTTAGCTGCACAGGCTGGCTGGTCACCGGCAGTGCCCGCTGCACAGATGACCCCAGGCAACAGTTTCCTGTGTTAGCTGCACAGGCAGGTTGGTCACCGGCAGTGCCCACTGGACAAATGATCTCAGGTAACAGTGTTCTGTGCCAACTGCACGGGCAGGCTGGTCACCGGCAGTGCCCGCTGCACAGATGACCCCATCCTGCCGGCCCCACCACATGGTACTCTTCATTCAACTGCATCTGTGGGGAGAGGTCAGAGAGGATCCTTTCCTGAAGCCGCACCCTCCACGGCAGAGAACAGTGCTAGAACATTCTGGAAACTGGCAATCCAACAAGCCCCTTGGCAAAGAGGTTGCCACCCCTCCCCCAAGCTTGAGGACGCGGAGGCCAGCGCGAGGGGGGGGGGGTCCTAGAGGAAGAAAGCAACAGACCCTGGAAGATAACTGTGCAGCTCATTTCCAGAATGGCAGAAAAGAATGAAAACAGCCGACTGCAGTGTTTACAATTCAGCGTCCTCTCGGGAGTTTATAAGCATGAGATCTGAGCAGGGCAACAAGCAGCAGCACGTTCTGCCTGAGAAGGTGTGAAAGCCACGCTAATTCCTATTACGCTTGTTCCTTGGTTCGACCTCGGCGTTCCCTGCGACTCTTGCACGGCGACTTTGTCTGGTACTAAAGTCCGTGTCTTGAAGATGGTTTCTGAAGAAATGCAGGGGAAAAAAAAAAGGCATCTTAGAAGGTGCTCACTATTCCACAGCAGCTTCCATCTGTAAGAGCTTATTCAGGATTATTCCATTAAACGCCCCAACAGCCCTCCTGTCGCCTGGGGAAACATTCCCTCGCGGAGATTTCGCGTCACTCCTGGATGTACACCTGCAGCTATGACTTCTGCTTCGCCTGAAGGGAGCTGGGCCAGGCAGAGGTGGGGACCTCCCTACAGCAACAAACAGGAGAGGTGGCATCTACCCAAACCCAACCTTGTTCCCACCAGAGGGCTTAAGAAAACACCCCCACCCCCACCCCAGGGAAGACGGCCCTGCGGGGAGGACACGGGCGTTCTCTCTCTGGTGGAGCCGTGGGGGCACTGACGGCCATGGCACAAACGGGTCAGAAGCAACTGCTGAGCCTTGGTGCGTTCTGAAGCTGGGCTCACCCTCGGGGCCCGACCCAAGGGGCGCAGGTCCTCATGCTCTTCCCCAGCTGCCTCCACCAGGTGCCCCTGCCTGAAGCAAAAGCTTGAAACTTCTGAGCGAAGGACCAGAGACTCCCTGGGCCAGGGCGCTGGGAGCAGAGGCGAAACGGGCCAACAGTAGCAGCACTGGCAAAGGGCAAAGGGCAGCTAGGAAAAGCTCTGCCTGGGGGAGGGGCTGAGGACCCCAGCCCCACAGTAAGCTCACTGTTCACTGTGAGGGAGGAGGATCATCCAGTCAAGGGAATAGGAGGAGGAGGAGGAAGGCTGAGAGCTCCACCTGGAAGTCCTGGGGGTCCAGGGTCTCCCTAAGACTGAAGCTGAGACGTTGAGGGCACCTAGCTGCCCCACCGTGAGCCAGGCATCCACTAACAAGCAGGAGTAGAAATGGCCAGGCCAGCCCAGCCCATGCAGGTGTTCCCAAAGGGCAGGCCTGCAGAGACGCTGGAAGGCAGGCAGCGGCACCAGTGGGCAGAGTCCTCACTCAGCACGGGTAAAGGCACTGCCCTGCACAGGATGAGAGGCCCTGAGGCAGCGAGGGTCACCTCTGGAACTGCCCGGCTCAGCCGCCACGTAAGTAAGCTGGCTCGAAGAAGTCTGCCCGTTCACAGGGACAAACACCCCCGACCTCAGTCCCTGTGGTTCTTCACAGCATGTCCAGCATGCCACCAAAATATCCAAGAAACAAAGAAGCAAAAACAAGGCAGTCCAGAGAAAGGCAGCTGGCAGGCAGAGCAGGCCTCAGCGCAGCCCTCACACCAGGGTCGCACCCCACAGTGGTTAACATTCTCAGTGCTCTCCAAGGAAGCTGCTCAACACGCAGGAAAAATGGAAACAAATGACAAGCCAAGCACTAGCCGTGGTGTGGGCGATGCAGGGGCCTGGAGAGCGAGCACACAGAAAACCCTGTAATTGGCTCCCTTTGCTGACCAGCTTGACATCGGGAGAGCTGGACAAGGAGACCTATACTGGCCAGATCAGCCTACACAAAGTAGCAAGAAGGGCTTGTATTTGGAGCTGAGAGGGAATAAACTGGCAAGAGGCACAGGGACCCCGCTCTTCTGTCCCGCTAAGATCTCCTGGACCACGCACTTGGCATATGGAGGATAGCAGCTGCCAAGACCACAGGAAGGAGGGAGAGTCCCCATCCTGGTCAAGCACACAGACGAAGATACCGCCATTACGGAGCGCCCAAGTTCAACTCCCAGCTTCTTGCTCACGTCCACTGTGGGAGGCTTGAGTACTTGAGTTGCTGTCCCCCACACGGAAGAGCAGGTTGAGTACTGAATACTTGGTTTCAGCCTTGCCCTGCCTCATCTACTGTGCGTATTTAGAGAGTGAAAAAAACAATGGTTTGGAGACTCCTTTCTCTGACTTTTGCTGCCTTAAAACAAAACAAAACAAAACAAAACACAACGGTTTCTGTTTAGTGTCTGTTTCAGTTATTCTCAGTTTAGGAGGCACAAATGAACAGCACCATGTATTTGCAGAGTCACAGATCCAGGCAGGGCTCTGAGCGGCCTGCTTGACAAGCTGGCTCTAGGTGCAGGCAGCAGCTCATCTGGAATGCTGTAACTGTTTCCTGCCTGCTTGCTCTGCCAAAATTATGGTGTAAGTTGCCCAATATAATTCAATAAAGTGTGCTTCGGTTTATATTGCCTTTGCATCCCCTGTGTCCCAATTTCTTCTCAGCACAGACGTCACACCTCAAGTCCCGGTCCCCACGTAAGCCCCAGTACTACTCTGCAGGTGTGACTGGGAATGGCTGGCAGCCACACTCGTTCATACACATCTGACTGTGACAGCCACAGGTCCCCTGGGTACTGTACTGGGTGCTGGAATGTGAAGCTTAACGCATGTGTTCTCTGCAGGAAGTGGGAAGCAGATTGTAGACCAAGCAAGGCTGTGAGAAACTGCCTACGATGGGGGTTGAGGCCAGCCAACCCTCTCAGGTGGCAAGGACCTGGCCAGAATTCCAGGCCGGAGCCATACCTCCTCTTTGTGGCCCCATGCTCAGGGCAGTCTTAATCATCCCAGGGCCAGGGGTCAGGGACCAGGAAAGCAAGAGTCATCCCTCAAACAGTCAGTCCGAAACTGCTCCCCTGTCCTGCCTTACGTTCTCAGACACCCAGGAGGGCTCTGGGGGACGCTCTCCCTCACGTCGGCGCTCACAGCGCCCTGGGAGGGTGTGCCCTGCCTCTGCCATGGCGACAGTGAACATCATTCAAGTCGCTTCCTGGATGGCCACACCACACTGGCCCTCTCATACAAGAACACAACGTAGCACAGAACACTGAGGTGGACCCTAATTTACACACAAAAGAACCCAAGACTAGTATGAGGAAAGCTTGTCTATTGCTCAGGAAAATACTTTCTCTGGAGTCACATGTTGCTAACAAAACAGCTACATCGCTCATGGACTTAGGACGACGTGTTGGGACTAAAACAGCAGCTGCTGGGATCAACATCTGAAATACGCTACCTGTGGCCCCACCAACGTGCCCAGCAGTTTTCCGTTGGACACCTGCAGGAAGGGAAGGCCAAAGCCATGGATACGTTTCCGGATTCAGCCGAGAAAGTGACATCCAGCCCAAGGGTGTCCCAGACAGAAACCATGGCCGATTAGGCTAACTCAGAAGCCTGGGCTCTGTCCACTAACCAGCTGAGGCCTCTGACTTGTTGGCTTCCTCTGCAGAGGCTCCCACATCTCGGGTCTGTGAGCACTGAGCAGCAGGGCTTTCTGACAGGGCTCAGACTCGGGAATTGGGCGCTTCCGCTTCTCACAGCCAGGACAGCCAGGGTTTAGTTCAGCATGAGCAGATTCAGAAGGAAGCAGTCACAGGATGGCTTCCTCTTCCAAAAGTCAAAGTTAAGGAACACTTAGCCAAAACAGAAACCTTCATAAACGCTGTTGAGGCCTTGCACGTGGCGCGGGCAGTCGAGCACTCACACTACCTGCTGCTCTCACAGGCACATCAGCAGGGAGTGACATCAGAAGCAGAGCAATGGGACTTTAGCAGATGCTCAAACGGGATGCCAGCCTCGCAGGTGGCGATTTAACCCCTTCTATCACAAGGCTGGCCCTGATAAAGTTTCTGTCAAGAGGACAGGAATGAGGGGGGAGAAAGAAGGCTTCAGTCTGAAGGAGGGACATCACACTATAGGAAGGTGACAGCACGAACAGAAGGGCGCAGACGCAGGCAAACTTACACGTGTGGCACAGGAGAGACGGGGACTCCCACTGGACATGCCCCTTCTTCAGGGGTTCCCTGTTTTCTAAAGCCTGTGAGCCAATGCTGAAAGGAAAGCTATTATGAGCCCACAGAAACAGTTTGTCCTTAGAGACAAAACAACTTCCGGTAAAGAACTAGAACGATTACAGCAGGATTCCATTTCAGGCAGAAATACCTAGAACTCGGCAGTGAGTTGGAAGTCATTGCCTTGAGTATGGACCACCACTTTCTTAATTCAATCAGAAACTGCAAACACTGTTTTGCAGGAAAAGCAGCTCCACAGAATCATAGTTTCTCAAAGCCCAAGTACATCCCCGTGTACGAGAACTCACTTATGGGCGGCTTCCCAGGCTTCCTCTTCCTCCAGGAGATCTCTGATGATGTCTGAACTGGAACTGAAAGGACAAGGCCATCAGTATCACCACCCGGCAACAAGGGTCAGTGCCACCACCCAGCAGAGACCAGTACAGGGACAGTGCAGCGTGTGGGGACAGGACAGTGAGGGGAGGACAGCAAGGGGCACCAGGAAGGCACGGGTCAGTGCCACCACCCAGCAGAGACCAGTACAGGGACAGTACAGTGTGTGGGGACAGGACAGTGGGGGGAGGCCAGCAAGGAGCACCAGGAAGGCACGGGTCAGTGCCACCACCCAGCATTCTATGGAGCAGAGACCAGTCTGCAGTGACAGGAAATGGACCGGAGGACCAGTGTGTGGGGACAGTGACAGAACTTCATGGCTGTACACACATATCAGAACTCATTAAGACAGACTTAACTGGGCAAAAAAATAAATAAATAAATAAATAAATTCCCACAACCGTATGTAATCAGAATAGTCTTAAGACTTCAATTTCCCACATCAAGTAAAGATCAAATCATCTTTCTATTATATCAACTCTATTTTGCTACTAAGAGTCACAGGAAATAACAAATTCCTAGGAGCCCTTATACCTGTAGGGAAGTAAATTTGATTATTTCAATTGTGCCAATGATGAAATCTGATGTGATGCAATACAGTATAGAGCAGTGTATCTTTGGTCTATCTGGACAGGGGTGAGGGTAGAAGGTCAGAGAGACATGCATTATTAAAGAGAAAGCTTGTCAAGGTTATCCTACTTTCCTCTTACTCAAATAAAGATGCAAACGCTTTAGAAAGGACAGGTGTACAGCAGTATGAAAACCAGCATTCCCTTACACACCCAAGACGTGGACCCCACGGGCACTGAAGGGCGGCTCTGGACAGATGTCACTAATGCAGGTCGACACAAAGGATCACAACCCCTCAGAAATGCTAAGAAACAACAGGCTTGCAAATGCTAATTCTGGTCATATTTCTAATGACAATCTATAAATAAAAGTGCAAAGATCATGAAGATCTTAAGTGCACATGAGTCATTCTCAAATTGCACTGTAGCAACGCTGGCCTCTGACGCCTGCTGGTCACCAACCACCATTCTGTACCAAGCACTCAGCCAAGGACTGAAGGCCCCCTTGCTGGGACTCTCAGCGTGGCACGCAGCATTCATGAGCCGGGACTGTCAGCGTGGCACGCGGCGCTCACTGAGCCAGGACTCTCAGCTTGGCACGCAGCATTCACTGAGCCGGGACTCAGCGTGGCATGCGGCGCTCACTGAGCTGGGACTCCCACAGAGGAATGGCCCTTCCTGTAAGCACACTGCCCACTAGCACACCCCGTTCAACGGTTCAAGCGCATGTCAGAACACCGAGCCTACAAGGGACTAGCCTGTAAGGAAACAACACCAATAGCCCAATGCCTTCAGTTCCCGCGCATGCGCACACAGAGTAACACATGGATTGAACAACAGTCATCGCCACGCTAAGCTGGCTTCCTCTTTCCACAGCTCCCTAAAGGAAAGAAGGAAGAAGCATGAGTTTCCAAAGGCATTAAAGTGATCTTGGCAAACTCTTCTGACCCAAGAGACCCACTGCAGCCCATCCCCTCCGACACCACTCTGACCCTCCCGACCACAAGACCCCAATCCTTATGAATCTTTGTTTTGGAGATAAATAGTCCGTGTATAAAAAACATCCAAAGCTGTTTATCTAAACCACCAATTTTTTTCCTACGCCAAAACCATCCATTCCTGTCCCCTTGGAGAGCAGCGCCAAAGGCAGGGTTCTCAAGCTCTGCCCACTCTTTCAGAGTTTTCCTGACCCACTGTCATCTCAATAGCACAAATGCAAGGTCTGTTTATGTATCATGAAAAGAGCCAAATTTTTGTTTCCTCCTCCCAGCATACCATTTTTGCTAGCAAGCCATGATCTAATAAGGGCACACGCGCACTCTCTCTCTCAAAGTTTTCAAATAGGAAGGATACAGAGCATCCCCACTGTTCCAGCAACGTGAACAGGCGAGGCTGACCAAGCCTGCCAACCAGTCCAGGAGAGTCTGCGATCAATGTACCAGAGGCTTTCAAACCAACGGCACAAATCAATGCTTTGTTAAAGGAAAATATTTGTAGTGCATTAACAACACAAGCCTAAGAGGTTTTGCTGTGCTGCTCACGGAAAGCAGATGGTAGAGGGGCTTTACAAAACACACATCTCGCAAGCCAGCCCTCCTCCCACCCCCGCCCAGCCCACGTGAGACAAGATGACACCACCAAATGGACCCAAGTTTAGAGTTCATCTGAAATGGACTCTCAGAAAATCAGTTAAATCTACTGTGCAACTCCAGTCACCAATAATCCTGAGAGTTAATACAAACATAAGTAACGCAGCTGAAAGACCTGTTAATTCCCTTTTACAACAATGCACTTACTACAGTCTACCCTGATTCACACTTTTAAACTTAAACATACAATTTCACATATGGGATTTTACAAAGAGAATTAAAAATAGGCAAGAGTTACTAAAATTATCTCTTAGATCTCTTCCTTGTGGATAGAAACAATATTTTTTGAAGTATTAGTCATCTACTATGCCTTGAAGATCAAAATTCCTTTACTATGCTTTCATGACATTAAAAAAAAAAATCCTCCACAGAAGAAAATGAATTACTGACTCTGGCATAACTGGTTTAAGGGCATATACAAGCCTACAACTCTAGTTTTAAAGTCTGAAATAAGGAAACTACTCAGAGTAAAAATTTTAGCTTTTCTACTACTGGGGTTAGGAACATTCTGGAAGACCAAGGTTCAGAAACCGGAGAACATGAGGTCAACGCACGGCAGCCGCAGCTCCTCTGTGGCAGAGTTCCCAGTGCCTCTGGGCTGGAGTGAATAGCACACAGATCGCACGATGCCAAGCCCTGCAGCATACCTGTTCCGCTTCAGATACAGCCAAGGCACAGTCCTGCTTCCCTCCCCTTCTGTGCATCCTCGGAGAACTCTAAGATTAGTCCGTAGAACAAGCAGAATGTTCAGCACGGGGCATGGCACACTGTAAGTCTTCAATTAAATCCATCCCATCTTCATACAACAGGTTCGGGTCAGAATTATCCAAGTAATTACTTACACACTAACCCTCCATCTGCCTAGGAGACCAACCACCACTGGCTCTGTTTTAATTCTGGATGCCTGCCGTCTCTATACCAGGGCACAAATTCATCCCAACCTGTGAGTTACTCAGCACAGTAGGCACAGACGTGCAGTGGGGTGGAGAAGATGCAGACATCTGTTACAAAGGTCCTGGGGACCCACAGGCTCTTCTAGGTGGAATTTTCCTATCTCTTCTCCGCAACCTCAGTTTGGGCATCTTCAACTTGGCAGCATAAATAAGTGGTGCAGGACACAGCTGGGACGAGGAGGGGACTCCCAGGGTCCAGACCACGGGGCTGAGGGAATGCTGCTGGCCACCACAGGTCCTTCCTCCAGCCCTGGCTGCAAGACTGCACTCCATAGGACCAGCCACGGCTCGTATGGCAAATACTTCAGTAGCTGACATAAGACGACGACAGAAAATAAACACCCCAGGAACGAAGCATTGATCACTAATGACAGTGACACGTGGCTGTTCCTCGGAGCGACTCCCTGCACGCAGCATGGCGATCGCTTCACACACCTGTAACCGAGAGGCACCCAGGTTTCTCCCCATTTGTCAAAGGCATCAAACAACAGGTACAGCAGGGACTAAGCTCGTCGTCTTCCTCACCAACACTGCAGGAGAAGAACCGAGTCCTACCAGCTCTGCTATTCCCTGACACGGGTGAAATGCCCTACTACCAATTAGGGCTTGACCAGCGTAAGCACCACCGAGGCTGGGATGAAGCAAGGCCAAGCATCCCTGCTCTCCACTGGATCCAGAGAGAGACGAAAAAAGCTTCAGACAAGAGGAAAATATTTAAAAAATGATTTGTCAAAGAAAACAAAGCAAGATCTTCAATAAGAAATGAGATGAAGCAGCAGTAACTCCCTTTATGTTCAACTCACAAAGCAGTGACATGTGTTGTCACCTCACTTGCTTCGATCCCGCAGGCAGGGGAGCAGGGCAGAGAGCCGAGGCAGGCCCAGCTCAGGGACACAGCGGCACCCTCCCCACCATCACCCGTGAGAGATGTGAAGAGGGACCTGCCAGGGACACAGAGCTGAGCTCCAGCAGTTTCAAGGAGGGATCTCACAGAATCTTGAGCAAAGTTGCAGTCCCCAAAACAAACGTCCAGTTTGTCCCAAACCGGCCCACACAACGCCCCTGGTCCTTTCAAAAACGCAAACAAAACAAAACCCACAACTATCTCAAGCTTTAATATTCTTTTCTAGTAACTTGTAACAAAGTTGAAAAACACTCCAAGAGAAAAAGAAATGTGATAAAGTACAAAACGATAGCATGTATTGGCAGAAACAGATTTTGTGGCAACATTAAATGTCATATTCTTAAGTTTGTCTTTTAAAATAATGTCAGATCTTCTAATTATGAAGCCTTAAAAATATAGTCAGCACTTGGGTCAGCACCTGGCCTCGCAGGTAAGCTGCCTGGTCCCAGACCAGGCTGGCTGGGTTCCACAGCAGCTCTGCTCCCGACCATGTCTTCCTCCAACACACACCCAGGGCAGCAAGGAGAGCCCAAGCAGCCAGGTTCCTGACTCCACACGGAGTCTGCATCTTCTCGCTGCTGTGGGCATGTGGGGTGTGGACCAACAGAGGAGTCTGTCTCTCTCAACACATACTAGTAACAGCTCAAAAGGATTAAGTTCTCCTTAACTGATAGCAAGACACGGCTTCATGCCAGTAAGTTACTTTGAAATGGTTCTTTAGACAGTGTTTTCTCCTAATTTTATGAGAAACAAATATGTCCCTAGCACCTAAATTATACAACTTTATTTACTATTTCCTTACATTTACGTCATGAAACCACTGATTTAAGATAAAACCGAGATAATGACTGCAAATTTTAACAAACTTGTACTTTATTTTAAATTAATATATTTTACATAGTT